AATAGTTGCTCACATGCGTGTGAGCCAGCAAATGGTGGCTCTCATGCGTGCGAGCCAGCAAATGGGGTTTGAGTCGACTTGGGTTCGGTTTGGGCGGTTCGGACCGGATTTGGTTTAGTTTTTTAGGGGTTTTAAAACCCGAGCTGTTCCTCTTCTTCCTTTTTATATTTCGACAGTTCCTCTTCTGTTCGAAAACATGTCTCTTCCCTCCTCTTTTCTCTTCAAATCCTCCTCGACTTTTTAAAGCCTTTTCACAAGTTCTTGGATTTCGGTTAGTAAAACTCATTTCAAGATCCAGGGCTTCGAAGGATTTCTTGGATTTGGGTTTCTTGTTGCAGTCCACTTTGCTGAGTTCCTCCTCCTTCGGTTCCAGGTGAGTTTCCCTTCTCCTTTCTTCAATTTTATCTAGAATTAGCCCCTTCAAATTTTGATTTTGGTGAAGAAATGAAACCCTAGTTTTTTTTATTTGGGGGGGAAAACACGAATCTTTGTCTTGAATGGTGGCCGAACCGACTGTTTTTTTTATGTGCAAAATTAACTAAGATTCGAAGGGATGCTATTTGCAAGAGTGGAGTGGAATTTGAGCTTGATTTTGGGTTCTTGGGGATATATATTGGAAACCCTAGACTGTTCTCTTTTTTTTTGGAAAAATCTTGAACCATGGCCTGTTCTTGATTGTGTGAGAAGATTTGAATGGCGATCGAACTTTTTATTTCACCCCTTTAGTTGAACCTTGGGTGATTGTCGACGATTTAACTTTGGCTTGAGTGCTAACCAAATCTATTGAGTTAATATTGGACTTGAGTACACGGTTGTTTACTTTTGATCCATTTTCTTTGCATTCTGATTTTCAGTTTCGAGGAGAATCTTGAGACTTTGTGCTTGGATATCAGAGCCTATCCTCTTGCATGCATGAATTTAGCCGAATTAGGCTTGTAATTCACCTAAGCTCCCATGTTGAATGTGTAGTCGTGCATAGAAACTAGTTTTGTATGAACTAAACTTTTAGTCTTATATTTGGATGTGACTAAAAATTCCCAGGCTTCGATTTTCATCACGAATAATTACGTAGTTTGAATCCGAGACCATGCATGATAACTGCCATATCGGGCTTTTAGCGTACACGATGGCCTGATTTGTAGGCACGTCGTGCTTTACTGTTGGTCACGTAGATGACTTTGGCCGAAATCCTGAAATTCTAGCTTAATTTGTTACACGACCTGTTGTGGGTTGAAACTAAATCCGCCTTAAGCCCACTACTTAAGTTTGATCGGAGCACCATTTTTTCTTTGCATTAATCTGATACTTCTTAATTTTCATCGTAATTGACCTATTAACTCTCTCTGCAGATATGTCACCTAAGAGATCTCGTGTTCTTCGAGGCCGTTCGGTGACTCAGTCGCCCGAGTCGGCACCGTTTAGCTGCACAGGTATATCGTCACCGCCTCTTTCATTCACGAGTTAAATATTGAGATATCACACTGCATGTTGCATCCCCACTTTGTTCTCCTTGGTGAGGCAATTGGGAAGAGCTGACATCCCCCTTCGTGGGGGTGGACGCTTCACAAGTCGTGTTTTGTTTGGTCAAGACATGACTGAATTAACTTGGGGCAATTTCTTGTTGTACTATACTCCGAAGGATAGGTATATTGTTGCATTATTCGTGTGACAATATATCTCATGCTTCATGTGTATAGTGTGGCTTTTTAATCGTCTCTCCTTGTTAATTCATTGTGAATATGTACTTGGTATAATATCCTCGCTTTGCTCTCCTTTGTGAGGCAATTGAGAAGAGCCGCCACCCTTCTTCGTGGGGGTGGACGCTTCATAAGACGTGTTTTGCTTAGTCAAGACACGTCTTAAAGCAATATAGGGCGATCTCATGTTGTGTCACATCACACAGACTCGGGTATACTATCGTGACGTTCGCACGTTAATATGCTTTGTTATTTGCGTGTGTGATATGATTGAGATTGTCTCACCATTTATAAGGTCGTGACTCTATCTCACAATTTGTGAGGCGAGTTCAACGCCTATACTGTTTTAACATAGGCATTTATGACTGTATTTAATAATTACCTATTGTTTTACCTTAGTTGAATTTCTCTCGAGGGAGTTCGGTGCCCATTCAGTGGAAGGTCGCTGCAGTGAGACTTACGTCTCCATCGATGAGCCAATCCCTGTCCCGGTAGCTCCTCGGTTTGCTCCGGGTGTACCGGAAGAGCTTCTGCGGTTGATACGGAAGGGAGAGCGCCATAGCTTAAGGCAGCTTATCACGGATGCGCCACTTGTGAAGGACCCAAGTTCTACGTATCTGTTAAGAAAGTCAGACTATTTATTTGGCGACTCTATAGAGGATCCTGCTACTGTATTTCTTGGCATGGAGTAATGGCTACACCATGATGATGGTGGCCATTTATATCTTCCTTCGATTCCTCATCATCGTTCGCTTGCCGAGCTTCGGTGTCAAGCTGTTCCGCAGGAAATGTCATGGAGGCTAACAGAAGAACACGAGCGCATTCATTATGGTTATATCACCCATGGCGCAATTCCCGGCTCAAGTAATCGGAATCGGATAACGGGGTTATATCCGGGGATCATAGGATTGAATGACCCACCCAAAGGTGAGATCTTCACCATTGCCAACACTATGAAGAATCAGCTCGCAGTTTTGGGTCGAGAAATGCCAGCAACCGGCCATCGATGTTATGGATGGGTACATTCATCGGATAGACTATGGTGGACTCGTTTGAGCCACTATATCTTGGACTGATTTGGTGAGGATTTGAAGGCTAGTGGCTTATATGCAGCCGTCCGCGCCACTACCTATGGACTTACCATTAGTGTCCCTCATTTTCTGGCGCTGTTGGAACTATACAATCCTGACACCAATACATTCCTGACCAAGCATGGGGAGTTGGGATTAGCATTGCACGAGATGTATAGAGTCTCTGGTCTTCCGATGGGGAATATGATTTATCAAGAGTACTTTCCTTCTAACAAGGAGCTACAGCAGTTGAAGTCACGGACTCCCAACCGCTACAACACCTTCTGGGATCTTGCTTGCCACTACCACATAGCTCTTGCGGGTGTTGATCCATTATCAAAGAAGTCGTGACCGCAAATTAGTTTGAAGAAGTTTGCGGATTATCTTTTCAAGAACACGAACAGCGTTCTGGATGAACCAATTTGTGAGTTATCGCCGCTGACCACCTCCGAAGTGAATGAGCTAATCAAGAAGTCGAATGCTCAGTCTTACACCATAGCTGGTATTGAGGATGGCTTTGCTGCTGGAACGAAATTCCAGACTTTCTTGTGGCAAGGAGTTAAACTAATCCGGCCTATGACATTACTTGTTGGGTATCTTGCTATCTGGCTGAAGAAGTGTGTAGTGTCATACCAATCTACTGATGCACTTCCCCTAGAAGTTTGTTTCCAGCGGTTCTGCTTGCTTATCGAAAAAACTTATGTCTTCTTCCGACAATGACCACTGGTATTTACAGAGGGCTTCGCCAGATCATGAATGCATTCACTCAGAAGGTGAATTCACCACCATCTCAGATTCCCCTCACAAAGGTAGAACTCTCCTATACCTACTTAATGGCTTGGTTGGTGCTTCATCACTCGGATATGATGTCGACCCCTACTTCCGTGAATCCCTCCCTTCCTTTTCTCCAAACAATAGAAAATTGCAAGTGGAAGGGTCAAGGTTTTGCAGAGGTCAGGAAGCAATTTCAAAATCACAAGTGCTGGGTCTTCCCTACTTTCTTCCCATGATTTTTAGGTCAGTACGACGACTCATTGATAGATGTAGAGAAGCCAAACACAGGTCGGACTTCCCTCGATTCGGGTTGCTTTGATTGGCTGGTTAATATCCGGTCGGGCTATGTGGTCTTCCGGGTTCAAAATCATTATTACATAGAACCCTACTTGCCATGTCGGCTCGCCCATCAGTTTGGCTATGATCAGATTTACATCGGGAACCCGAACCGACAGCTCCGGACTCGTGGAGGTTTAGTGGATGGGGCTCGAGCATGGCTTTGGAACATCACTGGTTGTACCGGTGCCAAGTTCAACCTTCTCGGTGTCGAGCGTAAGTTGGAGCTGACTTTTCTACAGTGCCGATGGCTCTTGGTGGCCAATGAACACGTACCAGTTCAACCGATCACCGAGTCAACCGATGAAGAAGCTTCTCGAGTTGCTACTCGAAGGGTCCATGAATCCGAGCTCGAAAAGAAGAGAAGGAGGGAACCAGTGGGTCCTTCTAGTCATTCAACGCAGAGGGAGCCTACTACAGAACCTCACATTAGGGGTGGTGCAGAGATTGGTGGCGATGGTGGAGAAGAGGAGCCGGAAACACGTGTATTAGATCCCCTCTCCTTAGAGTTATTTGAATTAGCAATTGCAGAAAGAACTCGCCGCTTTCGACTGTCCAAACCTTCGCTTCCTCTAAAGAAGCCAAAGATGCAAGTCTTGTTCACTTATCCTAATAAGATGTCGGTTGAAATCCCAGGTGCAGCTTCTTAAGAAGAGAGAGAGGAGTTCGGCCTTATTCATCGGACGCGGTCCCGACCCGCAACTTAGGTTTCTCCGAGGCACGAATTGCGTTCTAAATTTTTCGCGGAGAGGCCTGATGATCCAGAGGGGGAACGTTCGGCTAAACGTAAGAAGATGGCTTCTAAGCGACGGAGCAACCCTGAAATGGGACCGACGACTCAAGGATTGACGGCTGAAAGGGGTGAGTATTTTTTTCGTATAGTTTCTTCCGTTATATGTTGAGCTTTTAGACTTAAACAATTTCGCACTTCGCAAAAGAAGATTTTGCAAGCGGCTTTATCTTTGACGCTTCTTCCCTTGATATTGACTTCTCGGAACCAACTCCCGAAATCAAGCTCGAAGAGCCTGTAGACGCTGAGACAAGTATTCCTGATGAGACCGGCGCAGGTCACGACGTTGAGCCAGGCTTAACCGAACAGGCTGAGAGTCCAGGTATACTTAAAACTGGTAGCGCATCTTTCGGGTGGCGGGAACTGAATGATGGAGAATTCGTATCCCCGCTAACTATTTCTATACTTCTTACTCTGTTAGAAAAGCTGCAAGAGGTAGATCGAAGCGATAGGGTGCAGGAACTTAGCGTTGTCGTTGAAGGTGAATCTTATTTTATTTTTGTTGTAAGTCTGGTGAGTCAAAACAATTTGTATTTTGACTCTTGAACTTTCTTGTAGATGCAACAACAGAGGGTCAAGGTGATGAAGGGGGTTCCCAAGATGCACCTTTTGAGGAAGAGGGTCCAGCTTCACGTGATCCGGTATCAGCTTCTGACGATATGCTGCTGGACGATATGTTGCGTGAACAAGCCCAATACGAGGCCGCCAATCCAATAATCACAGCTGACTCGCCTGCAAGTACGGTTCTTATTCCCATGTTTCACTTATTTATTCGTGATCTTTCATTTAATCATCGAAGGGTTCAAATCGTAGGACCAGTCATTAAGACTGATAAAACTACTCCTAACGGAAAGTCTGGTGAATCTGAGGGTCTTGATTTCTTACTTTTGGTAGGGGTTGTTATTGACGCTCGGTCATCAGGCTTCCAGCAACAACTCCCGGTTTCTTTAGGAATGCCAACTACTGTACCTACTACAACTATTAGCGGGAGTTTGACCGAACAGGCCGTAAGACCAACTGAAGAAGTTGGTGCTTCAACGGCTACTACACCCGTAATGCTTTCTGCGACGCATGAAGTTGAGCGACTAGAAACGGGTGTAGTGTGTTCGGTTAGAGAAAGCTCTTCGGGGACTGGTAAATCTCGCGCGATATCTCTTTTTTTCTGACTTATAATTATGGGATATTTATGATCTTGCGCTTCCTTTTTTCTTTTGTTGTTGCAAGATTATCGTCTCAACTTCGTGAAGCTTTTGATGCTTTATTATCTGATGACGATCCCGATAAGCTTCTCCTTTGCTTGGAGGTCAGCAACTTCTTTAATTTTGTAGAGTCGTTAATCGACAAACTCCTGGAAAAGAAGATCCCTTTCAGACACTTCTGGACGGTCCTTGAGCGCAAAATAGCCTTAATAAAGGACATTGTCTCTCTCAATATAGCTAAAGCTTTGACCGACGATATGAATCAACTAGAGCGCAAATTTGTGAAACTACAAGAGCTCCAATTTGTTGGTGTTTCTGACTATGTTGCTGCGCGAATGGAGGTTCATTTGCAAACATGGCGTGAATCTCGAGCATCCGTTGGGCTTAGGATCCAGGCACAGAGGAAGCATGTTGACCAAGCGGAGGAAGTTCTTTCCGAAAGATTGGCTCATTTATGCGAAATCGACTCGTCGTTAGCCTCCGTTGATGTCGAAATAGCGGAGCTTGAACAGAAACTGGCGGAAGCAAAACAACGAAGAACTATTTTGGAGGTGACCAAGGCTGGGGAGGAGCATAGCAAGACCGTGATGTCCAGCAAAGTGGCGCTCTCGAGGGAAAGGTTAGCCAAAATGGAAGAAGAAGCTGCCCAACTCCTATCTGCTTATGAGGACTCTTTTAAGATAGAGCTACAGCGTGAGCTTGAACGTACTTATGCTAAAGAGTTTGCCAAGCTAGAGCAACAAATTATTAGTCAAAAGTTCAATGTAAAGTGATTGTAGCTGTTGTATCTAAACACTTGTTTTTTTTTTGTTAATGACATGCATGTTTTGTTCAATCTTCTTTAATTCTTATTATGATTTCTCATTCTATTTAAAATAATCAACTATAATACTTATAGGATTTTTGGCAAATCTTCAGCCATCAACAGATTTGACATATCTTTACCGATTACCGTTTGAATCGGGCTAGCCTATGAGTTATCTAGATCCGTTTCACAAGTAACATTGTGCTAAAGAAATGAACTCCTTTAGACTTAATGCTACGAATTTGAATATGTAGACTTAGTCGTTTTCTTACGGTAAAAGACCAACCGGCAGTGCGTATTAGGCGCCGACTTATCCCTACTTAGGCTTCGGGATAAAAGTCCCCAGACTCAGATTCTGGTATCTTTTTCAATCGGTGAAAGACTAAACCGGCAACACGTGTTAGGCGTTGACTTATCCCTGATTCTGGTATCTTTTTCAATCGGTGAAAGACTAAACCGGCAACACGTGTTAGGCGTTGACTTATCCCTGCTTAGGATTCGGGATAAGGTGAAAGACTAAACCGGCAACACGTGTTAGGCGTTGACTTATCCCTGCTTAGGATTCGGGATAAAATTCACCATACGCGTAAGGTATGGATTATGGAGTTATTAGAATGTAGTGTCTTTTTACAAGGCAAAGACGAACTAGATACTGAAGAGGATGAATTTTGTATTCTCTCTTCAGTCCTTCTTTTAAGGGAGAAGTGAACCCGATACCAAAGAAGAAAAATTTTATATTCTATCCTTGGCTACGGAAGAAACTTAAAGTGGGATCTCCACTTCAAGAATCCGTGAGATGAAACTAAGAATGGGATCTCCACCCTAAGAATTGAGAGGATTCAGTTAACCCTAACTTTTATAGTATTGGTTATCTGATTCGGAAATAAGTCTTCTTGTTTATCAAGATGAAATTCGGAGTCCAGCCCTAACTTTTATAGGTTTGGCTGGAGAGAAAAAAGTGAAATGTTTTCATTTATCGAAAAGAAACCCAATCTTGACCACAGTCATTTGACAGTTTTGACCAAAAAGGGATACCAAGACGACCCTAACTTTTATAGGTTTGGTCGTTCGAAAGGGGTGAAGTCCTTCGTTTATCGAAAGGGAAAACGACTTGAGAGTGAGCCTCTCGTTCATGGAAGGAATCGAGAGGAGATTTTGATCATGGTCCTAACTATAAAAGGGTTTGACCAAATAAAAGTGGGAGTGTGGATACGAACCATAGTCGAAGTTTGACCAGGCTTGGCCCAAGGAACTTTGCTAGGTTCGTCATGAACTGATTTAATAGCAAGGAACGGTGAGAACTCTTTTGTGAGGGAAGATTGATCCTAAAGAGTGATCAAATCTCATCTCAATAAGAGAGTGCTTAGAAGATTACAGTAAGAGTTCACTATGACCAAGCATGAATTGTTCAGATGACAAGTCCTTATTTAAAACAACCGGCCGATTTTGGGTTATCCTTAAGAATATCATATATGGTATTCTCCAGGAACTTTCTGTTTAATAATATGTTCTGAGCGTACTAAGGATAGTACTTCTTCAGGAACTTGCCATTTATTAACATTATGATCTTATCACCATCTATAGTGATTAGGCGATATGCACCGTTTGAGTAGACTATCTCTATCACAAACGGTCCTTCCCATTTGGGTTGGAATTTACCTTTTTTCTTGGAATTGAGTATCATAGGCCACCTAATGGCGAGAACCAAGTCCCCTTATTTGAAGCTTCGTTGTTTGACTTTCTTGTCGAAAGCACGAGAGATTCTGGCTTGATAAAACTCATTTTGTTGTTGAGCTTCCAATCGCTTTTCGTCTAACATCTCAAGTTCTTCGAGACGTTTCTGGTGTTGATCTTCCGTTATCATCCTTGTTACGAGAGCGACACGAAGGGATGGAATCTGAATTTCCAAAGGAAGCACAGCTTCACATCTATACACTAGTGAATATGGAGTGGCCCCGGTGGGCGTGCGGACCGTAGTACGATAGGCCCAGAGGGCTTCGCCGAGCTTGTCATCCCAGTCTTGTTTGTTAACTTTCACGAGTTTTGACAGAATTTTTATAATTGTCTTGTTGAACGTCTCAGCTAATCCGTTTACCGTAGGATTATATGTTGTAGAAGAGATGTCTTCGATCCTGAATTTTTCACAGAATTTAATGAAAGCGTTGCTCACGAACTGAGGACCGTTGTCGTGTATAATTCGTCTTGGAATGCCATATCAATAAATGATGTGGTGTTTGATAAATTTGACGACATCGCTTGTCTTCACTTCTTTGAGTAGGACTGCTTCGGCCCATTTCAAAAAATAGTCGGTGATCGCTATGATGAAGCGGTCACCTTTAACTGATGGTGGGAAGATAGGACCAACAATGTCCATTCCCCAAATCTTAAATGGCCATGAAGTAGCCGAGGGGTGAAGGTGTTCCGGGGGTTGGTGTATGTAATTTGCGTGTGTTTAACACGCATGGCACCGTCGGGCGTAGTCAACCGCGTCTTTGACCATGGTTGGCCAATAATATACTATTCTTTTGAGTTGATCGCAAAGCTTGGGACCGGGTTGATGTGCACCACAAATTCCGTCGTGAGCTTCTTTGAGAGCCTCTTCTGCCTCCTTGGTTGAGAGGCATCGGAGTAATAACCCATCGTATGCGTGACGATATAGCGTATGGGTTGTTGAATTGTAATAGAATCTCGGAGCTCTTCTTCGAACCGAGTCCCTTTCTTTTACATCCTGTGGCAAAATACCATGCACAACGTAGTCAATTATAGGAAATCTCCAGTCTCGGGGCTCGAGATCAATCCTAGCTGTATATGCTTCCTTAACGTTAATGGCGTAATCCGACACAAACAATTGGTGGGTTCTGATGGTAATGTATTGTTCAGAGTCAGGAGGTTGTGCTAAAGATATCGATAATGCGGCCAGCGCGTCTGCGTATGCATTCTGGAGGCATGGAATGTACTCAATGAAGAATTGTTCGAACGAGCTTGCCATTTCGATGGCCGCCTTGTGGTACAGTACCAAATCTTGATTCCTAACTTCGTACTCTCCTCGGATTTGGTTGACTATTAGTTGAGAATCACCAAAAGCCTCGAGATATTTGACCCCCAGCTCTTTGGTGAAACTAAGTCCGATAAGCAGTGCATTATATTCGAAAAGCCTCGAGATATTTGACCCCCAGCTCTTTGGTGAAACTAAGTCCGATAAGCAGTGCATTATATTCGACAACATTATTCGAACACCTTCCTATCAACGAGTATGCTCGGGGTATCACATGTTTTTCCAGAGAAACTAGGACGACTCCGACTCCTGCGGAGATCCTAGAACTACCGGGCGCGCTTGTTGTATTGGTCGCTCGGGAAGCTCCATCGAAATATAGTTGCCATACCTATTGCCGAAATGTAGTATTGACTTCGTGAGCTTCATCGGGCAAATCATCATACAACTTAGTTATATCCGCTACGGGGTTAGCTGCTAGGAGATCACAGATTACCTGTCCTTTGACCGACTTCTATTGTTTGAAGTGCAGATCGTATTGGGATAGGAGTAGGGCCCATTTTGCTAGTCTCTAGTTCATAGAGGCTGGCTGTGTCATGAATACTCAGACCGGATTAACGTTAGAAATAACATAAATCATTTGTCCTACTAAGTAATGCCGCATCTTTTAGATAGCGAATACTAAGGCGAGGCATTCTTTCTCAATTATTGGATACCGAGACTCAGCACCAACCAAAGTTCGACTCAAGTAATAAATGGCATGTTTGTGACCATTGTCATCATCTTGTGCAAGTAAAGCACTTAGCGAGTGGTTCATCGCTTTAATATAAATTAAGAACAGCTTACCTGACTTCGGTGCCACAAGAACAGGAGGATTTGCCAAATATGCTTTGATATCCTCGAATGCTTTTTGACAGGCGTCATCCCAGATGAAGGATACACATTTCTTGGTGAGTTTAGAAAATGGCTGACATTTTCCAGATAGGTTTGAGATGAACCGTCGTATATAGGCCAGCCGCCCCTGCAATCCTCGGAGTTTCTTGAGATTTCTTAGGGGTTGCAACTCATGTATTGCTTTTACTTTATCGGGGTCAATGCGGATACCCATCATAGTGACGACAAATCCCAGAAACTTACCCCTGTACATTCCTAGGAAAGACTTGGTAGGATTCATTTTTAATTGATGAGTTCGCATGAGGTCGAACATTGTCCTTAGATCTTTGATATGATTGTCTTTGTTACGACTTTTCACAACCAAGTCATCGACATAGCACTCGATAGTTTTTCGGAGGTATTCTTGAAAAATCTTAGACATTGCACGTTGATAAGTGGCGCATGCGTTCTTTAACCCAAAAGGCATCACTGTATAGCAGAAAATGCCGAGAGGTGTCCTCAATGCAGTATGTTTTTCATCCTCCGGGTACATATTGATTTGATTGTAACCCAAAAACCCATCCATAAAGGACATTCTCTCAAACTCACATGTGTTATCGATAATAACATCTGTGATGGGGAGAGGGAAATCATCTTTCGGACATGCATTATTCAAGTCTCTGAAGTCGATACATATCCTTATTTTCCCATTTTTCTTGAGGAACAGAATAATATTTGTGTGCCAATCCGGATGTTGTTCTTCCCGGATAAAACCAGAATCGATTAATTTTTTGACCTCTTCTTCAATCGCTTCCATGTTTTGTGGGTAAAATCGTCTTTGCTGTTGTTTGACAGGTTTTGCATCCGATTTGATGTTAAGACGGTGGGCTGCCACGTTCGGATCAAGCCTTGGCATATATTTATAATTCCAGGCAAAAACATCTATGAATTCTCTGATGAGGGAAATTAACTCCTCTTTTTCATCTGGTGGAAGACTATCACTTACGAATATTGGCTTTGGATTCGCTTTATAACCCATATTTACCTGGACCACTTTATCTTCGGTAGGAGGTTCTCTTTGCTCGAATCGGTCTACATACTGT